AAGCTGCTGGACACTTAAAAATCAAATATTAAAGCTACAATGTATATATATATATATATATATATATATATATGTTTGTGGGTTTACAACAGCTATATTGTATAGTTAGATATTGAGATCTTTATTTACATCAATGTCTAGTCATTTTTCAAGTTAGGAGAGCGTTTTTATTTAGTGAAAAATAATGAAACTGGGATAAATAATGTTGATGATTATTGGGAGCAAGTCCGACATTGGTTAATTTAGTAAAAAATCTTGAATTTATAAGGATTTATTTATTTATTATTTATTATGGACAAAATTAGATGAAATTTGGATATTTGGGGAAAGTGCTATGAAAATGACCACCGACTAATGAGAAGCCAATTTTGGGCCCGAAGTTAATGATTGGTAATTTCAACCTACAATTGATTAGGACAATAGATTGGTGACTGAAAATGACCATATAAGATTTTCTAGTTAAATATACACGCTTAAGATTCGACTTGGTCGTTATTATGTTACGTCATTGACTATATAGATTCAATGTTTAATATTTGTATTTTTTTTGTAAAAAAAAAAAAACAAAATTTTATTATAAAGTTCTAAGGTGGTATCAATTTCAACCCTAAATTATAATTTCACTAAATCTAACCTAAAATTTAAATAAGTGCAATTGTTTTTAGCTTGGTCTGACTTTTGCAATTTCTACGGTAATTTTAACAAAAAAGTATAAATATATATATTTTGAGAAAACGAAGTTGACTAAAGTATCTTCCCTTGATGGATGAAAGTGGACTACGATAAAATCTATGGAGGCACTTTCCCATAGTTTTTGTGGTGTAGGCTACGACTCTAAGAGTCTCAGTAGTCTGTCTCGCTCGATCTTATCCTGTTGACACATAAGGCACATCACGTCTTGGGCTAGAAACTTGATCCCTAAAAAAGAAGGGGTCTTTTTCCTGCCTAATGATAGAAGGCCAATTCTCGTTGTGTTGCATAAGACAATGCTGTCTCACTTCGTGATTGGTCCTTCTCAAGCACCAAGTTCCCCATCTCATACGACTAGGTGGGAGGTTGTTTGTTTGCCCTTTGGATGTGAAAGATCAGTTCCTCTCATGCAACGTGTCTTAAAAAAATGTTTATTCCTCTAATGCGCACCTTGGAAACTCTTGATGCAAGCAATGATTGTACACGAGTTCTAACTTTATAACATAGCAGCGGGGTTGACTTTAAATATCAATAAAGTCAAGTCTATTAGGGTTTGGATTCGTGGTTGACCATCTAGACAACTAAAAGAGGATCAAAGGTCAAGATTGCTCTCTCTAATCTTTCCATTGGTCTATGTCTCATCTAGATAACTAAACTTCGCTCATAAAGCTATTGGGTTTGGATAAGACAAATTTTGTTGTTTTCTTTGTTATTGGGCCCATTGAGTTATATGGCCCAATCACGTCCAAGGCCCATTTCTGCAGCTCATTCGTACGTTCATACGTATGCATGCACATGTATACATATATACATATATACATATATATATATATATATATATATATACATATATACATATATATATATATATATATATATATATATTGCTTTGATTCAACGGATCACAGGCGTGTGTGGCCGAACAAGATTGAATTTTGTATAAATTGTGTTTGGTTGACAAAGACAAACCGCGTTCATTGTTTGACGAAGCCACAAGGTTGCGCAAAAAATGAATATGTGGCCTGAGTTTCTTTTAAGACTTGTTATGAGCATATCAAGATCACAACCCGTTGAAAATGCACGATCGTGACTCGTAAGTAAATAAATTATAATTATACGTCCGAAAAAATAATGAAAAAAAAACTAATTTCAAGATTTAATTAAAAAAAGAAGTAAAAGTAAAAAAAAAAAAAACTTCGTCCCCTGAATATTCCATAGACCTTCGCTTCAAAGTCGGCTGCTTTAAAAGCACTTTGAAAACTCGCCCGCAGCCGCGTAGTTTAAACTCTACGGCAAAGCACTGCGCTAAAACCCCTCCCTAAAACCCTAATTCATTCGCAGCCAATCCATTATGGGTCGCCGGAAAAGTGGCAGTCACAGTCCAACTACCCTCAACGGCTTGCCTCAGCCCCAGGGTTCGAAGATTTGCTTTGAAGACGACGACGAAGCTCCGATTGAAGAAACCACTGGGAGCGTCAACGTCGATGAGTCCATGTGTGAAGCCTCCGACGACTCCAACAGAGTCATTGAGGATACTGCCTGTAAGCTTGACCAGTCCTTGAATGATAAGGATGATAAAACCAGCGCTGATTATTACTTCGATTCCTACTCTCACTTTGGTAATGGCCTTTCGTCTCTGTTTCCTTATCCTTCTTTATTCCTTATTTGGGAATAGTTCATTTGGTTTCTTTCTGGTTGGTTCTAATTTATGCTTAAGATTTTTGTCATTACTGCGTATGGAACATTGGATTGAACTTTTAACTTTGCCTTATCTTCTGGTAATTAATTAGTTTAGATTGGTTTAAATGGCGTGCGATTCAGATTTAGCTTCTCCAATTTTCTTTGTGTGTCTCATGTGTTGGAATGAACATGACCTGCTGGTTCACTTTTATGTTATATATCTACAAGTATCTTGCTGAAAGTGAAAGCTGATTACCTTTTGTTTATTTGTTCGTTTTGCTTGTGCAGGTATTCATGAAGTAAGTTTGGCGTACATTGATTCGAGCATGAACAGCTAAACTCATTTTGATCTTGTATTGTTTTGATTCACATGCTCAAAACTGTAGGCATTTATCATGACTGTTTAATATATGCAGGAAATGTTGAAGGATTCAGTTAGAACTAAGACATATCAAAATGTAATTTATCAAAATAAGTTTTTAGTAAAGGATAAGGTAGTTCTTGATGTGGGAGCAGGGACTGGCATTTTGTCCCTATTTTGCGCTAAGGCAGGAGCAGCACATGTTTATGCTGTAAGTATGGGAATTCTTATGGGATGGCAATGTGCCTTCTGTTTTCCCTTTTCTTAGGTTTATTCTTTTAGCTTTTGTTTCTAAGGAGATGTCCGTTTACAGGTCGAGTGCTCCCATATGGCCGATATGGCAAAAGAGATCGTCGAAGCAAATGGATTTTCTAATGGTATTTTTCTTGGGTCTCTTGTTATTTCATGGAATTGTCTTCTCTCAAATACCTATTACCATTTCTGCTTCGCAGTTATAACCGTTTTGAAAGGGAAGATCGAAGAAATTGAGCTTCCAGTTGACAGAGTAGATATAATTATTTCCGAATGGATGGGATACTTCTTATTGTTCGAGAATATGTTAAATACAGTCCTATATGCTCGCGATAAGTGGCTTGTAAGTGTTCTGTGGTTTTGCTGATATTCTAGCACAAGTAATCTGTTTGAAGAATGTGTTAAAGCTAAATGGAGCTGGCTTTATAGTTACTAACATACAAATACATCTTCTTTAGCCTTACGTTAGATTTTGTATGTGCACTATGTGCAAGGCAATGTTTTTACTTGTATGGTGTCGCCTGCTTCTGTATTTTTGCAACGCTTTTGTGCCACTCGTTCGTTCTCTTATGTGAGGGTTAATAAGTGATAATGGGGCAAGCTGGATGTGGGACATTCATGTATGATTTTGGTTTCTGTAATCCAGGTTAATGATGGTATTGTATTACCAGACAAAGCTTCTCTATATTTAACAGCCATCGAGGATGCAGACTATAAAGAAGACAAGATTGAGTGTGAGTTAATTAATTTGCGTTGCTAGAAATGTTTGAATTGTTCAATAGTATATGTTGAATTTATTTTTGACGTAGTTTCTTGTTCATCTGCTTGCAATATTAGTTTGGAATCGTGTATATGGGTTCGACATGAGCTGCATCAAAAAGCAAGCCTTGGTGGAGCCTTTGGTGGACACTGTTGACCAGAATCAAATTGTTACAAACTGTCAGCTACTTAAGGTGAGAACTAAACAATTTGACCAAAAGTTGAGTTAATCAGACTTGAATATGTCGTGCCTGCCAGAGTTTTTTGGTTTAACGAGTTCATCGGTAGAACATGTTTGTTTCTTTGTTTCTTGCATCACATCTCAAAGTTTTTACTTTTAGAAAATTCCATTATTCAACTGACTTTTTGAATCTTGTCTTTATTCCTGTCTCTTGCCTTTCGATTTTTTGACGTCTGTGATCTCGTTCTGGTTTTGAACATTGAATGTTCTAATAGAATCGAATCCAGTCACGAATTTAAATTACAAATTCAATTATTTCAGATCATCGAACAATTATTGAGAACTATGTATGCCTGCTCTTAGATCTGTTTTCATTTTTGATAACATGATTTGGTGGTCTCGCTCAGACAATGGATATATCCAAAATGGCGCCTGGGGATGCTTCCTTTACAGCTCCATTCAAGCTAGTAGCAGAACGCGATGATTACATCCATGCTCTTGTAGCCTACTTTGATGTATCTTTTACCAAGTGCCATAAACTGACTGGATTCTCAACTGGTAAATTTCTGCATTTCGATACTAGAAGTCATTTACTTGACATGGTTTTAGTAGTCCTTGGGATTCATCTAAGTAACACCGAGCCAATTGGGCCTTTTGGTAACGGTATGTTTGATAACCCTTTATTTTACAGGACCAAGATCAAGGGCTACACATTGGAAGCAAACAGTTCTGTACTTGGAAGATGTTGTCACCATTTGCGAGGGAGAGGCTATTACTGGGAGTTTGAATGTTGCTCCCAACAAGAAGAATCCTCGCGATATCGATATTGTGCTCAAATACTCATTCAATGGACGTCGATGCACGATTTCAAAGACTCAACATTACAAGATGCGTTGATTCACAACAGTAGCAAAACCGTTGGATTGTCTCTTTACACAATCAATGTATTGAGTGTTGCTACATCCTTTTGAAGAATTAGATTACGTATTGACATGCTTGTGTTCTTTTGCCCATCCGGATGCTTTAAATTCAATCTATACTTTCCTCGTCTACTTAGCATTAGAATCTGCTGATATGGGTGAGAAAGCAAATTATACTGTTAAGTTCCAATGAGGTAGAAAAAAAAATTTCTTCAAGATAACTGAAAAATTACCACAAAAATTTCTTCAAGATAACTGAAAATACAATAAGCTATCTGTAGTGTTAATGAGACTTCAAAGTTCTTGTTTGGTGGGCTTTGAACTTTTTAAGCCTCCGAGCTTTGCTCCCCACCAATGCCTTGCTTTGTTGGAGAGTTTGTAAGCATGCTGTTTTATTGCTTCTCCTGCCTTTGAAACTCCTCTGGTGATCTTCGTTTTCCAATCATTCTTCTTGCTCTCTTTCTCCCTCAAAACTTTGCCCTACAAAACGGTTTCCCAATTAGTTCATTGAAACATTTATAATCCTTTGAACTTCTGGCTGTATAAAAGATGTTTGAAGTACCAAATTTGAGGAAAAGCTATCATCTTCGTCCTCGTCTTCGTCGTCGTCTTCGTCTTCACCTCCAAAATTTTTCATGTTCATAAGATCATCTCTTGAATACATTTTCATGTTCGGTGCCCCTGGCATTCCCTGGTTCGTATGAATAGCATGGTGAAGCTTAAAAATTGAGGTAGTCACTAGCTAACAAGCACTGAAACAACGAATTGATTACCTCCATTGATCTCAACATCTTTTCCATCTCAGCTTCTTTGGATGACTTGGCCACAAAGGGCTCGCCTGGAGTCCTATCCTGGGTTACAGGACAATGTAAGGGATCAACTAAAGGAACTTTTCTGTTTTTCAACACAATACAAATTACAACCTGATCATTAAATGAACCCCAGTAATTTCAATCTAAGCATCCCTAGAAATATCCAATATTTAGAACTTAACCAATAGGATTTATTTATGTAACACCGCTAGCCGACATTGTCCACTTTGACTTGTTATGTATCGTTGTCAGCTTCACGGTTTTAAAACGCGTCTACTAAGAGAGGTTTCCACACTCTTATAAGAATGTTTCTTTCCCTCCCTAACCGATGTGGGATCTTACAATCCACCCTCCTTGGGGGCCCAACGTCCTCGCTGGCACATCGCCCGGTGTTTGGCTCTAATACTAGTTATAACAGCCCAAACCCACTGCTAGTAGATATTGTCTGTTGTAGCCTTGTTATGTACCACCATCAGCCTCACGATTTTAAAACGCGTCTACTAGGGAGAGGTTTTCACAACCTTATAAGGAATGCTTCGTTCCCCTCTACAACAGATGTGGGATCTCACAATTTTGTAATGACAATGACAATTATCTCACACCTAATCATTAAAGAAAAAACCAAAGAGGTATGGATTATCTCACAAAGGTGTCATGATGTATCATTAGTTACTGTCAATCAACAAAACTGGCATGTGATTAGTTAACTAACTACCTTAGGAACTGGAGGCGGCCTAGTACTGCATGATTCAGTGAGGTCCTTGCACAGATAATTAACCAACGAATCAATCTTTGGTTTGGAGCTATACAAGTATTCAGCAACATCAGTATCAGAATATCCCAAGACCTGCAATGCAATACAACATATTTAAGCATTTGCCATATTGTCTTTCTGGTAAACCCACGTTGGGGAACCTATTCCATCACAAACCAGAATTTTGGAGGGTCAAGGCAATAACACTAGCAAAACAAAACTTTGACAACGCTTCAGTAAGTTCCTTCTGTATATTCTTTTACTTGATTTATTTGTATTGAAGACTCTTCCAACTAAAGGGAACAAAGTTTTTCAGAAAAGCATCTATAATAAATGAATACAAGGAAATTTCTCATTTCTTATCTTCCCAGATTCAGTACTTAATTCTAATTGTTGCAGCAATAAGGGTAAATGCACACTCAACTCAAGACCTAAGCATACCTCTTGACATGTACGCTCAATGGTCTTGCACTCTGAATTGCATTGTCCTTCGGTGTTCTGCTCCACAAGCTGAGAAGACATGGATATTCAATGGGTTAGATAGAGCTTACACGTAAAATTATCCAAAAAAACAAAACTGAAAATATTCCTCATATTTTGAGCTACATGGTGGAAAAATGTTAAAAGAAGATGATTGTTCATTCATATTTTGAGAATCATTACTCAATAGGGAAAGTTTAGTTTGATTCTTGAGATAATTCTACTCATTCTCCAAGTCGAAAATACATAACCCAAACAGTGATAATTGAAATAACCAAGCCACCAAGTATTCAATGCTAAGTTCATCAATTGTATTGAAACAACAAAATCTCATATCGGTAACCCTGTTCTTCTTACCTCCAGCTTATCACCTTGTTCAACAATGTCAATCTGTAAGATCCAATCAGCTTCGGCCTTCTTCAGATTACAAACGTTCTCAGCTATTTCGATAATTTGATACTCCGAGATCTAATACAAAACCGCAAAAAGTGGGGGAAAAAAGAAAGAAAGAAGAAAACAATCTCTAAGTTAAACAATCAAGAACCGATCCATGAAACACCAGCAATAAAAAATTACCTTCTTAGGAGCAATCTCAGCTTGTTTCTTCTCAACTTGGTGATACAACTGCGCACCAAGCTTCTCGCAGACCTGGCATTTGATGTACGGAATATCCTCTTTTCTAGCAGTCGCAGATGGCTTCTTCGAACACTCAAACATCGGAACCCAAGCAATGGCCAGAAGCACCAAAAGAACACTCAGTAATCGCTTCATCTTCTTCACGAAGCTCTCGGATTCCGAATTCAGAGAAGCTGAATTATGGATTCAACAATGGTGGAAGAAGAGTTCTTCGTTACTGAAATGGCGTCACCTGTGAGATTCTTACAGGGATCTGTCACCAAATTGGACGAAATTTGGCGTCACCAAAATCAAACAATTTCAACTGAGATAGCAAATGAAGAAGACGAAGACGATTTTCAATTGTTCAACTTTGGTCTTCATACTTCAAAGAAACGAAATTAAAAAAAAAATTAAAATTAAAATGCTTGATGACGTGGCGTAACTTAATTGGTTCGATTTAGTCCTTTTACGTATATTCATCCAATCGGGTGCAAGAAAATACGTTTTTTTTTTCTTTTTTCTTTGCTATTTCTTGTTTATAAATCTCTTTTTATCCCAGCCGTTGTTTTTGTTACAACTTTTAACGGCTTGATATTATTCCACGTCATAACTGGGCTCCACCCTTTTCATCTGACGTGGCAACATTTGCAAAACCCCCCCTCAAAACCCTAGCCTCACTTTGTTCATAACAACTCTGCCTTCTTTCTCTTCCAATTCTTTGTCAGTTTCAACCAGTCTCTGTGCTTTCCCTCCTGTTGAATCGATGGAATCTATGAACTCTTCAAAGCAGAGTCCTTTTCTGGGAGAAAATTACGAATTTACTCTTGAGCAATCAATCCAAAATGTTTTAGCTGAAATTCGCGAAGGAAATCTTGGTTTTTCTCAATTTATGGAAGGATTCTATGAGTTGATTCAAGCTAGAGATGATCCACCATTGGAATCGATCTGGTTCTACTCCGCATTAACGTTTCGTAGCCGTATCTCCACTATGAATGGCGACTTTTTGGACCGAGTAGCAACCATGAAAATCTTGTTTCAGACGACGTGTTCTTGTTCGGCTCCTTGTGGTTCTTCGAAGACCATTGCGTTGCTCTCACCAGTGGTTTACGAGGTGTATAAATTGATTAGTGACATGCTTGGAAAGGATTTGTCCTCGAAGAGGGAAAAGAAAGCGATGAGAGAGGTTAAATCTTTAGTTGAAACGATGCTTGGGTTTATAAATTTGAGTTCATGCAAGGATTCGGACCAGAATGGTGAATCTCTTGACTTCAATTTGGTTACTCCTTTTGTGGATTTAATTAGTATTTGGGCGAACTCAAATGAAGGATTGGATCAGTTCTTACCTCTCGTGAGCAGTGAGGTTCGTGGAGAGTTTAGTTCAGGCGTATGTGATATTCGACGCTTGGCTGGAGTTGTAATTGCCGAGACATTTCTGATGAAGCTGTGCTTGGACATTAACAGTGGGCGTTCGAGGCAAGATTTGGAGAATGATCTAAGGATTTGGGCTGTTGGTTCAATAACTCGGATTAAGAACTTCTACTTTTTTGGTTAGTAATTCGAAATCTCTTCTAAGTATTGGTTTGATTCTGTATGGTGTTTGCCTGTTCAATTATTGCTGCGTGTTCTAATGTTTATGATTCATGTATCTAGTTTTAAAATTTTAGAATTTTGTAAAGTGCTCACAACTTGGTCCATCGTTGTATCAACAGAAACTCTTGTAAGATTCCTGCTGGAGGCGACTTTACCTGTGATGTCTCTGTTGGTATGTTCTGCTTTTGTAGTTTCATATTCTATTTAGTCTGTTTACTTTTATTAGTGCTTATGAGCGTGTGCTTTGGTTTGCATGGCACTTCCAAATGCACACAAGAGCTTTTAAGTTCCCATCTGTTGCATGTTCCCTGATAGACCATGTGTTACCACCCAAGCCCACCACCCAAGCCCACCGTTAGTAAATATTGTCCTCGAGCTTTCCCTTCTGGGCTTCCCCTCAAGGTTTTAAAATACAACTACTAGGGAGAGATTTCCACACCCTTACAAGGAATGCTTCGTTCCCCTCTCCAACCGATATGGGATCTCACACCATGTTCGACTGATTTCTCGATAGACCACATTTTTGTGTCTTATATATCAGGATAATCTTGTCTGTCTTATTCCTCATTATTTGGAGCATGCTAATCCTCTCTACCTTATTCACATTACTAACTTCATGTCTAAGGAGAACAGATGTGTTATGTTACTGTTTCAATTTTTCCATGCCTGGAACTTGGAAAATCAAAGCTTTTGTAAAACCCTGCCGAATCCGTCTCGTTTTCTTGGCTTTTTGCTCGTGTACTTTATTTGTGGTGTAAATTGTTAAAATGCTCAAGATACATGGACCCATAATTGATGAAAGTAGATAGTGAGATGAAGAATTTCTGATTTGTTATGAACATATACATGCACTTTGTCCTCAGCTTCCTCAGCTTTGATTGAACATGAACGTGTACCCATAATTGAACATGAACACGTACCCATAATTGAACATGAACACGAACATGTACCCATAATTGAACATGAACACGAACATGTACCCATAATTGAACATGAACATGTACATGCACTATGGCTATTTCTTTAAACATTTGATGCGATTGTAAACTTTTTTCTGCAGAGTACTGAAGATGAAGCTCTGTTAAGGAAGATTCTATATGATGCTCTTATATTGGTTGATTATTCATTTTTGAATGATGAGAAAGCCATTAACTTACCTGCGGATCATGTGGCATTTCTGGCTGTCAAGAGATTGATTCTTACTCATGAGGCCATAGAGTTTTACAGGTATGTGAAGAACTGAGCGTACCCATAACTTTAAATCAAACCTTCCTTAATATATATATTTCTTGTTTGTTGTTATATATAGGGAGCATGGAGATCAGAACAGAGCCATCTCTTATCTAAATGCCTTCTCAACTTCTCTTGTTTCTTCTCAAATTATTAGATGGGTCAAAAGCCAAATTCCTAGCAATGAAAATTTTAATCATCCAAAAGGATCATCACCTAAAATATTTCTTGGTAAGATGATTATAATTTCACATTAACAGTATAGTCGACGACCTAATCTTCTGTTCGTTTTCTTCCAGAGTGGCTTCTCAAGGCTGAAGATCACGGTGTAAGAGTATTCGACAGTACTATTTCCAATCGTCGTGCCAAATTAGTTCTCGATACTTCTAAATCAGTCTCGGGGCATCCCACGTCGGAGGGAAATAGTGTGGATGATGAACTGTTGTTTTACATTGATAAACAAGGGGAAAATGAAAATGGAAGTGAAGAGGAGGATAGAGTGATGGACGAATCGGTAAATGCAGCTCTTGTATCCGCTGCTCATACAATGTCGACAACTCAAAATGGTTCGGGGAAGAAGAAGCGACAGAGAATGGCCAAAAAACAGAAGAAGATCAAATTTACGAAGTATGATCTTGTCCTGAACTCTGATGTGACCGAATTGAGGTCAGCTGTTGAAGATAATGATACAGACAGCGAGGGCGAAGTTCATAATCCGCACTCGGACGAAGATTCTGATACGAAAGAGTAATGTGATTCAACAAAAAAAAACGTTCTTTTGTTGATCTTTCTGAAGGAGCTGACCGACGAGGTCAATACTCGATACAACGCCGAGAATGGTAGATTTTCAACTCCAAAAGTACAACAATTTTCGACCAGGGGTTGCAAATTTTCAACGGAAGAGAGAAAAAAGGAAGACGTTTTTTTTTCTCGATACATTACGATAACGTATGGTTTTTCATGAAAATGAATCAAATATTGAATCAATCAAGCTGTATCGGCCTAGAATTTTGCCTATTGGTTTTCAAGCAACTTCAATTATTATAAATATAAATTTATTATTATTTTTTAAAAATTAAGGCTTGGAAAATACCTTATTATCTGAAATAATTCATTAATATTTCATAGCAATTCTTTCTTTTCACGTTGTTGAGTAAAATAAATTTATAAATTATAATATTGTGATGAAGGGTTCCTTATTATTGAAAATTTTTCTCAATAAAATATTAATTATAATTACTTTTAGTGATTTATTTGGTTGGTGAAGGAATGTGAGGGAGCCACTCACAATTTGACAAATGTAAGTCAATTTAATATTAAAATATAATTAAAATGGGCATGATTAATAATTGAGTCCAATCAAAGGCAAGCAATCTCTCATTTCTTTTTTATTTATTTATTATCTAAAAAATAAATAAAATAAATTCCAAATGACTCCTTTTGTACACGTAATACATACCTACATCACGGGGCGGGTCCCACATAAAAAGGCATCCAATGCCAGGTGTAAGCATCAGTGTGACACCAATCACCTTTTAGTCAAACCCAATGTGTTGGGCCCCACCTCCCACCTCATCATTTCATTTTCGTCTTTACAATTAAAAAAAGAAAATCAATTAATTAAAAAAATTTCTAAGTTTTTAATTTTTATTGAGATAATTTGTAATAATTACTATTTTTATTCCTATTAATTTTGTAACGATATATTTTATTAAATAATTATTAGATTCAAAATAAAAAATTTAACCTAGAAAAAAAATAAACTCACCTCTTCAAAATTAATCTTATCCAGTAAATATATTTAGAAGGTATTTAAATTAGGGATAAAAATATTGTTAATGTTAATATTTAAATTGCTACCGACAAAATATACCCAACTCCCTATTTTATTCATTTGTCAATAATAATGTTATTAATGCTCATATAGAGTTTAATAATATATCTTATAATGATGATATATTTGTATTATACTTTAGTGTATTTTAATTAATAAATTAATAAATCAATAAGAACTTGGTTAATTTTTTTTTGGCATACGGAACGACTCCGTTTGGGGAAGTTCAAGAATTATTTATTTTTTACAAGCTGAGGTGGCGGGATTTTGACCGCGGTTAAAGGGTAAATATCAGTTGGTGCGAGGGTCGCCGATCGTCGGTGGAGATTAACCGTCGGTTAATTTGCCAGTTAGAGCGATACAGGAGAAAAATAAATTAATTAATTAAAAGGAAAAAGGAAAATAATAAGAGAGAGAGAGAGAGAGAGAAAAAAAAAAAAAAAAAAAAAAAAAAAAAAAAAAAAAAAAAAAAAAAAAAAAAAA